AAAAAAGTATTCTATGTGCTTTGACGCAGATCGATATGAATGTTATTCTAGTATTCTTTAATATCACTGTGCCGATATTGATGTCACCCTTCACTTATGTCATAGTTGACATAAGAGTTTCAGTTGAAATTGAAATACGCGCGGTAGTTATGAAAATGAGAACAAAGTTGTTTTTTATGTTTGCAGATTTTATAGCACTGGTCACAGTAGTTTTCGTTGAAATAATCGTTTCGCAGAGAAAATCGTATTAAATACATTCAATAAAATATTACCTGGTCAAAATAAACTAAACACTTTATTATTTCTCTCCACAAATGTGACTTAGATTCAAATTTATATCACAGATAGATGCTGGAGTACTCAACTTACTGACAAAGTTTCAGCCCTATCAAATATAGAGTTCTCGAGAAATTCACAACTACGTCCTATCTTTTTATTTCTCTTAATTAAGACAACTCATTTACTTAATTGGTTTTCTTGTTCATCACATTGGAACAGATGGGTAAAAACTATTGTGAAAAAAAGTGATAATCTCATATGTAAATAGTTCATAGCATTCTCGAATAGTGGAAAACACTTCGATAATGGGAAAACGCGAGTTTAAGGGATGCTTTGAATTTTATTATCATCGGAAAAGGAAACATATCATTAAGTAAAATTTTAATTACATCTCTAAATTTTCTTGTGTACAAGAAAAAACAAAAGAAACTTTGATATGTTTATCAATAGTGTATTATAATAAAACTAAGAGCAATCAATTGAAAAATAAATCTACGAACTAAACAGTTATTATTTGTTCACGAGTGCTCGAGAAAAGGATAATTCAATTATCACAGCGGCAACATCGATAAAAAAGAATGAGGAAAAAAATGTATTGGTTGCGTCAAAGCAAATACAAATCATTTATAGTGTTGGGATGAAGGAAAAAAAAGAAAACAACATGAACGTTGAAGCTAATCATGTGTATGAAAAAAAAGAGGAACAAGTATTCCACCATTAGTTTCGTATAAAAAGAACATTTATTTATTTACATGTCATCATATTGTTGGATCTAATGATCGTACTTATTTGTCATTATTCAGAACTAATCTTAGATTATAGTATATAATTGTAGAAATCATCAATATCCTTCTACTATAGATTTAAAAAATATTTATCTCCTGAACGAGATTCTGTTACTTATACAACATCCGTCAAGATGAAGTAGCTGTATTTTTAAGAATCTAACAATATCTACTGTACTAAAATCTGTTTTAGTTCTCCGATATGTGGTGGTATGGATGGTTTTCGACCATTAGATGATGAAGATTTAGAAATTTGGGACATAGTAAAAAAAAACATATTCATGTTAAAATCAAAAATCGATTTATTTGTTTAAATAGTACAAAGAAGCTTTAGAAAAGAAAATTCGAGATCAGTTTAATTTATCCGAAAATGATATACTCAAACCGGTTCAAGTAGCCACACAGATTGTAGCTGGAAAAAATTATTTTTTCAAGGTATTACATATGTTTTTGAAAATCATAATTAATTTGAATGAATAAAATCTTAACTGACAATAGGTTGAATTACCCGATAAAACATATGCGACAGCTCGTGTTTGGCATATTGTATGGCAAAACGATACGCATGGTGATGAAAATCAAGTTGCTGTGCATGAAAAACTTTCTGAAGATCCAAATGAAGATCTTGGTGATTTTTAAAATTTAAACAACCCAAAGAATAAACATTTCCATATCTAATTATTTATTTATCTATTTAATTTTAAATAAGTTCTTGTAGTTTATCTATTAAAATTGTATAGGTAGAATCCTTCCCTAAAACAAAAATCAGCTGCATGAGAACGAGAGTGTCGATGTCATCTGTTCTTCCTGCGCACATCTACATTAACATCATCAAGAAAAGTCTCTTTTTTTTAACTGATTTATCATGCTAAATAAATGATTTTTGTAATTATTTTTGGGATTGTTTTCGTGTTTTAAAGATTTACAAGCTCTAGCACTAAAGAATAGAACTAGATAATGCAATATTTTTCGTGACGACAACATGGTGTGGATGTGGATGTAGGTGTGGGTTTTTATGTAGACTTCTATCCATACAAACACTCCACCCACCCTCACCTACACCTAACTCTAACAATTTCACAGAGAGACTCGAAGAGGATTCATTTGACGAGATAAATGGGAATGCTAGGGTGTGGGTGTGGGTGTGGGTGTGGATAGGTATGGATGTGGGTGGGTGTGTGGTTGTAGTGTGTGGGTATGGGTCTGAATGTGCCTGTGTATGCGAGAGTAAGACTATTAGCTACACCCACACTTACCCACACATCCATTCACACACACCCACACCCTCAAGTGTGTGCATATATTGAATGTTCTCAAATGCGTTGTTATTGCGACTTATGTACTTTGTTTGTTCGAGATCATGTCATTTCGAACTATATATCTGCAGAAAGTGTCCAAGTCAAAGATGGCAAAGGATACAAGATGGAATGTTACTGTGGCTTTCGGTATTCTCTTCTCTCACATTCACACCATTCTTTTTGTAGTCGAGGATTGATTTCTACAATTTGCTAATTTCATGCATTCGATTCTTACGCTACTAGAAATAACGCAAATATTTTCAAGGACTTTAAATTTAACAAAACACAATATACCGAATTACTTTATGGTAACTTGAGGTTGTTGGTATTCAGTTCGTGTATAGCCACATTCACACCCTAAAAATAAAGCGTCTTAGACATCTATTGTTGCCATAGTTCTTCTATGACTAGCTGTTAAACTATTTCATTTCTTTATGATACAAATATATGTATATGTATGTATATACATATGTCATCTCCATAACAATTATGAATATTAATTAAGAGAAAAAGAAATTCAAATTATTTTGCCTACAAAAGCATAATCAGATTTATTTTTGTTGGAAGTCAAGGAGAAAAGTTAAACGAAGAATATTTAACGCAAAGAAGCGGACTCACGTCCTAAGCTACTTTGTTTTTGTAACTTCGAAGTATTTTAAGAGTAAGTTTCTAAGTGGCACAAACATCGATGATGGAGTGATATCTCACCACTGGCTGATTCTTTGGTATGTTGTAGAGACTGATGAGCTATGTACTTTCTAAATTTTTAACTGAATCGAATGCATTTCTGAAGAGAAATCCTAAAAATACGGATGGTTTTTTT